CACACTCTTCTGCGCGCCTGGTCTGCCCCGGCTGTGGGTGCTCGCTCCCCCTGTGGGCTCAGACTACCGGTCGGAAGGGGCCCAGCGTGGGCTAACTCCCCAGCTGGCCACTGACCCTATATTTTTCCAACTTCATTAGGATATTATTGACATGTAACACCTGTAAATTTAAAGTATACAATGTACTGATTTATTTTTTTAAAGATTTATTTATTTATACAAGAACTGGGGTACAGGCCAGATGTGCAGGAGGGTGAGAGGATTCACCAGAGACAGAGTGGGGAACAAAACAGGCAGATTGATGAAATATACTGCTGAGGGGAGCAGCGGGCGTGACAGGAGAGGTCATGTGGGACCCTTGCTGGCCAGCCAGGATTGAACTGTTGCTGCAGAGGCTGCAGACAGCTTCACAGCGAGGCACTCAACCACCTGCGCCACCACTATATATATATAGTGAAGTGATTACTATCATAGGGTTAGTTCTCACCATCACTTCACATAATTAATCAATTTATTTTGTTGTGTGTGAACTGATATAACATTTAAGACCTGCTTTTGTAACCTTCAAGTGTTTAACACAGTATTATTGATTATAATCATGCATTGGGCATGCTTTTAGGGAGGCACTGCTTTTAGGCCCATTTTACAGATGAGGAAACTGAGGTACAGAAAACTGAAGGTTAAATAATTTGCCCAAAAGGAAAACCTGGAGCAGAAGTCTGGAGAGAAGTGATTTCTTGTAGGCATTCAAGATAGTGTGTCAAGCTGTTTTATTGGGATAGTCACATAAAGTGTGATCCTGGAAGGTCACAGCTTCAGCACTTGTGATAAACTTTTTTCACTTCTCTATATTTCCATATCCTGGCCCTGGGCCACACTCAGTAGACTGGGTAACCTCTGAGACAGGGTCTCTCAGGACTATGATGTTTAAATTCCTGGTCCAGTGCCAGCTTCTTACAGCTGTAAGGAAGGAGGGAGCTGGCCCCTTTCACGAGGTGGGGGCTTTCCTGCTCCAGCATTTAGGAAAAAGACACCCTGAATGTGTCCCAGTTTTCAGGGCAAGCCAGACAATGGGATTAAAGTGTCCTCAAGCTGGCTGGGTCCTACATTTCATGATTTCATCTGCGAGGTGTGACATCAGAGCTTTCAAGCTGGGATCCCCCTGCAGGTGGAACAGATTCTCCCTGCATTACCCTCTCCCCACTCTGACTCCTGAGAACCAGCAGGGAGTCAGGACTGGCTTTAGGAGAGTCCGCTGCTAAGGTGGCTGTATCTGTGGCTTGCCAGGACCTACCCTTAGAGACAATCCAGAATTTCATCTGGTATTTCAGAAAATTTCAGCACTCCTGATTTTTTTCCTAGAGAAAATATTAAAGCAAGAGCATAAACTATACATTATTCAAAATATTTCAACTTTGCAAGTAAGTTTACTTCTTGTTCTCTCTCTTCTGCTCAATTCAAAATTTGTTATTTCCTATGTAAGAAGACAGTGGAATAATTCATGCTGTTCTTTGTAATGATCCTAAGCTCATTCTTTCCTTTTGAGTTTTGATCAAAGTTTTCATAAAGACATCTCATTTTTGGTACTAGGATTTGAATTGAGAAAAAAAGATAAAATGATAGCATTTAACAACTTGCACCCACATCCTCTAGAGCTTTGTAGTCTCTATAGCCTGTTCACTATTTTCTCCTGCTCTTCTCAACAATTGACACCAGTAGGTAGACTAAGTATGGCTGTCCTATTTTAAAAATCAAGAAAATGAGGCTCAAACTGGTTGGATGGAGGAGCTAGACCCCCATGGTTTGATGGTTATTTTAGGATCTCGGGATTTGTCATGTTAAGAACCTGCCATCAGACCCAGACGTTGAAAAATCCCAGTCCAGTAAAAGGAGTTCCTGACCAACTTTGGAATTCAATAAACTTCTTTTGCATGCTTTTTCTACCTATCCTCTGCTAGCTCCTTTTATTTCATAAAAATGCAAGGAGACAGATAATGCTCATTCCTAAAAAGACTCAGCTTCTTTTTCATCTAAAGTGTATTTTCAGCCATCTAATATTTTGTGAGGATCAGTGGATTTATATGGCAATTGCACAGCATGTTCTAAGATTCTGTAGCTATCTGGAAAAAATTCTTCTGATTCTTGGATTTTATTTTTTTGTACATGATAATCACAATGGCTGGGAGCTGGAAGCACCAGCATTGCTCAGTGTGTTGGAATTCATGAACAACCATTTAGATGTCTTAGCTTGGAACTCAGATGTGGAGAAGGGCATTGTAGAAGTTGAAATAATGAAACTCCAAACTTAGGAGGGCTGGAGAAAGTTATGGAGTAGGGAGCTGGGTCGGGAAGCCTAAGGTGATGAAGTGTCAGGGACAAGAGCCGAGTATGTCAGTGGAGTGAGACTGGAGTATATGGTGCCAAGGGAACTTGTTTAGCTTTTTTGAGTAGATTTAAGGAGGTTTCCTACTCTTTGCTTCCAGGTTGGGGTGGGACTCAACATGCTCATACAATCCTAGGGCAAATTTTCTGTCACAGGCTGAATACCATGTACAAACCAATACCTGATGTATTACCTGTTGACCGACTGAATGACCGGAGGATCTAGGTCTTAATTCTATTAATATTTTTAATCTAATTTGATTTTATTCTATAAAGTGTTATTTGTTAATCCATGGAGGTAGTGGGAAAGCACATCAGAAAGGGACTATCAGTGAAATTAGAGTACACTCAACTGCTGGGTTAATACAGTAGTCTTCCTACTTGAAATAAAAATATTCATTGGCTCACATCTCTTAGAATGCCAGAGTCCTTTCAGCAATAAAGCATGAGGGGGATCTGATGGTAGGAACCTGCGCTTCTCCACCTTGGTTCTTTAAAAGAGGTCAGACGCTCTTTGGGGTTTGTTAAACCCCTCAGTGTAATCAGTCCATTTCTGGGTCCTGGGTCCCAGCTGTAAATGTTCAGATTTAATGATATTTTGGTCCCTAAATCTCCTCTTTATCCTTTTTGCTGGAATCTTTTTCATTGTTAGTTCCAACCAACCACAACTGACCACTTAGTACTTTGGGAACATTTCTTTCAAAGCCCGGATATATCTTCAAATGCTTCAACCTGACCCAGGCTGGGCCATGTCTGGGCTTGGGGAGTAAGCATTAGCATGCTAGTTATCTGCTGTGGACGTGTCTTTATGTAATGATGCCACCATCTTTTTATGATGTTTGTGGCAATTGAATGAGATAAAGCATGTAAAGAGTTTAGCACAGAGTCTGAAATGGATTCAACACGAGTACATGTCTATTCTCAGGTTCTATTAAAAAGTCGGTGAGTATCTATGTGTTCTCTAACTCCTTCTCTCCAGAAGCTCCTATTTGTGAGTAATGTCTCTCTTCCCACTCTCCTTATACTGGGACATTTCCTCTTAACAGTTTCTCACTGCATTGTTTTCGCCCTTCGGGAACTTTATTTAATCCTATCTAGGCACGAATACAATAATTATTCAAAGCAGGGGAGGAAAGACTAGATGATGCAGAAGGAATGACCAGGTGACCTGTTAAGACTACTATTGGTTCTACCATTCTGCCATGTTAGAACGTAATAAAAACTCTCTGACGAAGCTGTCAACCTCCTTAGATCCAGGTATTGTAACTTTCCTATATTTTTCAGTTTTAGCTTTTTTTATTCATTCAACAAATACTCATGGAGTACAGCTCTGGGTCTGGTGATATGAGTATTGAACATACAAGAATTCCTGCTATCAGGATACTCAAGTGCAGGTCAGTTGGGTGGAAGGAGACAAGTGCAACATGTTATGCAAAGAGTGAGAATGGAGATGACCTGGGTGCTGCAGGAATACATTGAGAGTCCTTATAATAAAGTATAGGATGGGGAAGGGATTCTCTTCCTTTTGGAGATGGTCTCAGAGCCTCATTTTGAAAGATGTGTAAGAAAAATCTGTAGGGTGGGCAAAAGGTGTGTAAGGCTCGGGGTGGGAGGGATGCAATGAAGTGTGAGTGAGAATGCTTTAACCTGAAAGTTTAATGTAATTTAATATGGCCAAGGCACAAAGTAGGGGACAGGGATGGGACTTGAAGGGATAGCATGGATCGGTCAGCTAGGTCCAGAGACTTGTAATGAGACTAAAATACTCAGATCTGATTTTGAGGGTCAAGAGGAGCCTTTGGAGGATTTTTAACTGAGTATTGACATGATTGAATTTGATAAGTATCATATTGCAGTGTGGATGATTGAGCAGGATGAGTTGTGAGGTAAGAGAGATCACATATAATGCTTTTGGAGCAACCCAATGCTGAAATCCATGGCTGAGAAACAATTGGTGGTTCAAAATGATTTTGGAATATATAAATAAGCAGAAGCATGAATGAATGTTAAGGAATAAGATCTGATAACGTGGGGTAACTCATCTTGGAATTATGAAATGTCTAGTAAAGAGGGACATGAAGGATGAATACTTGTTATGGTGTATAGTAGACAAAGTGATGGAGGAAGTGCGAGCTGAGAAGGGGAGCAGAGGAATCCAGTTTTTCACGGGATGCACATGTGCATACTTTGAGAAGTGCAGTTGGGAAATGGAAGTGTGGCTCTAAAAAGAACCTGAAAGTATGTAGGTTATCATTATCCCCTAACTGGCTATTGCTAATGAACTAAAATTGATTATATGTATGATTACAATTTTAATTACAAATGACTTCAATCTGAAAAAAAGTTTTCATTCTGATTGAAGTGTAAATGATGTGATATTTTGGGAGTTGCTTTTGTGTATTATTTAACTTTGTATTTTGTCAACATCATTACTTAGAAATGCAGAAAATCATTTGCATTATTAGGATTTTTTTTGCTTTGGGATTCATTATTTGGGTTCTGTTCTATAAGTGCCGATTCCCCCCAGTTTTTTTTTTTTTAAATTCTTGCAAGAGGAAGTAACCGATTTTTCTTGGTAAATCTCTTACCACCCAAGCTCTTGTTGCAGCTCAGGATTCATGGAAAGTCCACGAAACATCACGGAATTTTTCATGCTGGGACTCTCACAAACCCCTGAGGTGCAGAGAGTTTTATTTGTGATCTTTTTGATCGTCTACCTGGTCTCTATCGGGGGCAACTTGCTTATCATGATCACCATTATCTTAAGTCCCACCTTGGGCTCCCCAATGTACTTTTTCCTCTCATATTTGTCCTTCATTGATACTTGCTATTCCTCATGCATGACCCCCAAACTCATTGCTGACTCCTTGTATGAGGGGAGAGCCATCTCCTTTGAGAACTGCCTGACTCAATTCTTTGTTGCCCATTTATTGGGAGGAACTGAGATCATCCTGCTCACGGTCATGGCCTACGACCGCTACGTGGCCATCTGCAAACCCCTGCACTATACCACCATCATGACCAGGCAACTCTGTGGCTTGCTGGTTGGGGTGTCTTGGCTGGGGGGCTTCCTACATTCAATTGTTCAGCTTTTCCTGGTCCTTCAGTTGCCCTTCTGTGGGCCCAATGTGATCAACCACTTCGTCTGTGATTTGTACCCCTTGCTGGAACTCGCCTGCACTGACACCTTTACCATCGGTCTGCTGGTAGTGGCCAACAGTGGTGTGATCTGTCTGTTGAGCTTCCTGATGCTGGCTGCCTCCTATATCATCATCCTGCGCTCCTTGAGGTCCCACAGTGCAGAGGGGAGACGCAAAGCCCTCTCCACCTGTGGGGCCCACTTCACTGTGGTTTCCTTGTTCTTTGTGCCCTGTGTATTTATTTACATGCGGCCATCGTCAACTTTGAACATGGACAAAATAGTGGCTGTGTTTTATTGTATTTTGACACCCATGTTCAACCCCCTGATTTATACCCTGAGAAATGCAGAGGTGAAAAATGCTATGAGGACTCTATTGAAAAAATGAGTGGTTGTGGATGGGAGGACACAAGATACAGTTAAAAAAAAATAGCCTCATGTAATTTCTCAGGAAGAATTCACATCACAATGAGAGCAAGAGAGCATAAAACATTACAGAATAAAAATGATTTTAACGCTTGGAATGCTGCCTCATCTGTCAGAATCCTGTGTCACTGATCAGACAGATGATTCTGTCACTCAATTTCTCAACATTTTACACTGAATTGCAGAGCATGGCAGCACCACCACTGTCTCCCTCACCTGTGTTGGAGATGGCGTCTTCATCCACCTGGGGTACCAAGAGTCTTTGATGAGCAGAATCCGCTTGCTGCAACATTACTCACCTGGCCCTTCAACTCCTCACCTGAGAATATGGATCAGAGTAGTTACTGGTGGCTCACCTCCACCTGATTTCTATCTACAATAATATCTGAAAAAAAAAAAAACATAGCTTGGGACTTCAAGAATATAAAAAAATACAGTTAGTATTGAATGAACTCAAATCATGGAAGTATAGGATAGACATACTAAAATTGACATTAGTGTGATTATATGTAATAAAGTATAATGTCATGTGAAATTCTGAAAGATGAGTGTAACCCTTGTATACTTGTGACTTCCTACACACTTCCTACACATCTCTCTCTGTCTCTCTCTCTCTCTCTCACACACACACACACACAATGACAGAGTTTATTTGGGGCAGGCATTGCACTAATGACTCTATAAACAAGATCTCATATTGTCTTCATGAAAAGTTGTTGTGGTTTTCTTTTTAAAAATTAAGACTTTATTCATTGAGGCTGATTTATCTAGTCAAGGTTGAACTGAAATTTAGATACATGCCTTTCTGCTTTCTGGTGGGATCTTGTATTTTATTTTATTATGGCCATGTTTTCTGCTCCTGCACTGTTACCAGTATGCGTATTATCCATCTCTGATAGGCCCTTGCCCAGTCTTTATTTCAAGTCCAGAGTCATTCTTAAGTATGTCAGCAAGGAGGCTTCAATTCTCTCTGATCCATTTGGTAAAATTCTTATTCCTCGTTTCTTGTTGCCATGAGATGGCTTTGCTTTCTATTTAGTATATTTTATTATAACATGAAATTTTGGAGTTTTGGTTATCTCTGCTTGTGGACTGCATTTTGTTGCCAAGGAAGTCAAAGGAATTTTTGAAAATGTTTCTTTGACAGGAAGGAATTATAGACATAAAGTGAAATGTCTCATTAGAGGTAATAACTTATCTCGCACAATAGTGTTAGATATTTTTTCCTCATTTCAGTAGCTCATGATATTACTGCTTTACATCAAAAGCCAGTAAATACGTGTTCCCATACAATTTTATGTTGCACGGTACATGGATTCTGTTCATCTCTTTAAAAAGGATGTCATTTGATCTGTATTTGTTTTCATAGGAAATTTTTACAATACAGTAGAGAATTAAAAATTCAGGCATGAAACATGTGGCTCAGTGATGTAAGATTTTGTCCTTATCTGTCTGTGCAGGTTTGAACAGGGGTGTGTCTAGAAGTAGGTCTTTCAAAATGGCAATGGTACTTAACTTTGCAGTTGGATCCTATTTCACATCTAACTTTTATTGATACTTTTAACTTTGTGTTTTTTTTTCACTTCACTAAGTGTATCTGATTTTTCCAAAGACAACAAAAGCACATTAAAAGTCAAATGTATCAGAATTCATAAATAAACTCAAGTTGATTCCTGGACAAAATAGCAACCTAAACACTGTTCTAGATTCTGGGTGGGTGGGCACAGCCCTGAATAGAATCACACTAAAATTCTGTTGTCAAGGCGTGACTTAGTCCTTGAAAATTCCTGAGTGAGAGATGTCCTAGCAGGGAATTTGACCCATGTACCAAGGGTTCATATTTTATGTTCATATTTTGCCCTCTTTTTATTCCGGGTTGCTTGCACGGGTTATCATAAAGCTAAAGTTATAAAAACAGTGCAGGTGAGTACAGAAAAACAAATAGGGACAGTTCTTTATTTTTTTTGAAATGTAAGCCTGAGAGATTCAGGGTTTGTGGGTTTTACTGATGTTGTCTAGAATGTAACTTTAGTTACATAATCAGCCTTCCTGGTACATGTGTAACCCTAAAAAAGAGATGTTATTACGAAAATTATCAAGATGTGAAAAAGACTAAAAACAAATAAGTAATACTTTAATGACTAGAACACCTAAAAAGTAGTTACCTCAGGAATGCAAGAATCAATTAATATTAGGAAGTTCATTAAGATAATGGATTTTCACATGAAAAGACCAATGGAGAAAACCATATGACTATTTCAAAATGTTGTGCTAGGGTGTTTTATTCATTAAGGGATTTTATTAGCTTCATTTTATCTCTGATCATCACTGGAGTGATGTCCAGTTCTAGCACACACCACCCAAAGGGTGCGTTCCCCAAGGGTTTTAACCCTGAATTGTTTCTGCCAAGTTTCTTCTAATTTCAGCACCTTCCAGCAGCATCACATGGAATAACCTGGCCCTGTCCATGGTGCTTATTTTGCTGAGGAACTTTCTTAAAAAAACTAATAGCTAAGCTTTGGAAACAGCCCAAATGCCCAAAAATAGATGACTGGATCAAGAAGATGTGGTACATATATACCATGGAATATTACTCAGCATTCAAAAAAGATAAACACATGCAATTTGCAGCAACATGAATGGCGCTGGAAGGGATCATGCTCAGTGAAATAAGCCAGAAAGAAAAAGGAAAATACCGGATGGTCTCACTCATAGCAGGAATCTAGAAAACTTAAATAAGGGACCAGGAAAATGAATAACTATAAGAAAGTGAATATCAAAATCAACAAAAAACGATGAACCAGAGATACTTTTTGGGGGGTGGGGGGCGGGAGGGGAGGGATTGGGGTCAGAATGGGGGGGTTGTAATTGTATGGGGAATATAAAAATAAAATTTATTATTTAAAAAAAAACCAATCGTAAGATTTATATTAAGTTGCATAGTTGTGTAAGACACATAATCTGAAGGTTTTCACATCTGAATGGTTTTCTCAGGGAGCTTATAGTCTCTGTCTAGTGCTTAAATCTATTCTGCTTTAAGGTTGAAAAAATAATAGATTGGAGGAGAAAGGAGAAATAAGTTTTACTTAATAACAATACGCACAGAATGTAGTTAGAAATCTTGAAAGGGCCTATTACTGTGGGTTTATGTTTTATAGTGGACCTGTTGTGTAAAAATGTACCACTCACTGTGAATTCATTTCACTTGAGAACAGAGACATTAATTGAGTTAAATCTGGCTTTCTTTTTGTCCAGTACTTCAGTTTTGAAATGGTTTTTTTCATGGTGCAAACATTTTCTTTTATGTGTTCCTTCCTTTTTGTCCAAAGGGTAATTTTATATTTCTAGAGGCTTGAGCACCCTGCCTTCTGTAGTTAAAAGGAAGAGTCTCCTTGCCTTGCTTGGTCACGCACTAGCTCTTTGCTCTAGATGAAGCCTATTGCCTCTGTTCCTTAGCCCAAGTCTCATACAGTGTTCATGCAAAATTGTGAAAGAGGTGCCAGCTCAGCTCCCATTATTTTCTAACACTAGTAGGCTGAGGAGATGTAATTCTTTGCCCATTTCTTTCCCATAAGGGATTCTCTACCCCAGTCCTGTGCTGACTTTTCTTTGGACTCAGCTCTAAAACTTTGGATTCATCCTCCTTGCCCTACCTCTCTCTCCTCATTGAATAGTTGATCTTTGTACAGATCTTCATAACTCAACTTAAAAATGTAGCTCATCTGTTCCAGACAAGATGGAATAAATACAATCCACCTTTTCTGTCCCCCAGAGATGCAGATGTCTGTCCCCTAGACATGGCATGGAGGGGCTGAGGACTGAGAAGTAAATGACCGTGGGCACATTGGGGAGAGATCAGATTTGAAGTCTCTGAATTTTTTTCTCCCTATATGGTCACTTAATCTGGACTGAAAGCAGTCCAGACTTTGCGCTGGATCCATACAGAAAGAACTCACAAGAACCCTTCTCTCAGTAGTCAAGTGGGCTAAAGAGCGCAGGGGTGCATTTCTCCCTTTTTTTCTTTTTCCTGTTCTCTCCTGTCTCACATCCTAATCCATCCAGTGGCAGAGAAGCAGTGACAAGGACCATAATGGTGGTTGGACAGGTGCTGACCACCCCATACTTTGTGGGTGAGGTGACCACCACATATCTTTTTGGCTGAAATGCTGCCTTTCTTACTGATCTGTAAATGTTCAGCCCTAGTTCTATAAGAAGCAGAAGCTAAGACAGAGCAGATGTGCAGGGGAATTGCTGGGGCAAGCACTGATGAGTAGAGGCGGGAGGAGCTACCCAGGTGATGCTGGTAGATACTCCAGCATCAATACTCAGGAAGTTCTGGAGTTAAAAGTGAAGAGTAGAGATTGGAGGTTGGGGAAGGGAATTTAGAAGTAAGTGAAGAAGGTTCTACATTGTTCTTGTAGAGAATTTGAAAAATGTGTTTGTTGATGAAAATATAGTGGGATTTCTGGAAAATGTTGATGGCCCAGTGGAAGTTGGTGCAGTGAATTTATAGCACACCAAATTGTCTCTATTTTGTGGCTTTTTCCAGGGGCTCTTGGGGAACTGGTTTAGACAAGGGTTAGAAAAGGATTCATTCAGTATGGAAAAATAGCTGTATACACATGTGCTGAACAGGCAACTGTGTTGGAAATGTAAATGGTTATAAACTTTGGAGGAAAGTTTGCTGCATATATTAATTTTTAACATGTATATTTCTGTCAATATTTATCAACATTAAAAAATACAGATATATAAAATTTATGAAAATATGTAAAATTAGTGGTTACCAGTAGAAGGGGGATGGTGAGCAAATAAATCTGTTAACTGGGCTTAAAGTTGTCAATTGGATGTGGATAGGATTGTACTTTTAATGGAGACATTTATGTTATGTATACAGATGTTGGTTTATAATGATGCATACCTGAAGCTTAAATAATCCAATAAAATTATAAAAATATGTGA